CAGAACAGATAATGGAGGAGAATATACAAGTAAAACATTTGATGACTTTTGCAGGAAAGAAGACATCAAAAGACAGTTCACAGTGGCGAACACTCCTCAACAAAATGGAGTGGCAGAGGGATGAATATAACATTGTTAGAAAGAACAAGAGCAATGTTGAGGGATACAGACCTAGAAAAATCATTCTGGGTAGAAGCAGTCAATACCGCCTGTTATTTGGTGAATCGAGCTTCATCAACTGCAATAGAGCTGAAGACACCAATGGAGATGTGGACTGGAAAACCAGCTGATTATTCAAACCTCCATGTATTTGGAAGTATAGTGTACGTGATGTACAACTCCCAAGAAATTTCAAAGCTAGATCCAAAATCCAGGAAATGCAAATTCTTGGGGTATGCTGATGGTGTAAAGGGGTTTCGCTTGTGAGATCCCACTGCCCGCAAAGTGATCATCAGCAGGGATGTTATCTTTGTAAAAGATAAGCTACAAAGAAAAGAAGATGATGATAGCGCTGAAAAGTCAGAGACTACACAGATACATGTGGAAAAGGAGTTTGAACAAAAAGATTCTTCTGAAGCAGAACCAACACATGATGAATAAGAACTAGAGAGTTCTGAAGCTCCAACAACTCGTCAATCAGATCGTGTGAGAAGACGTCCCAATTGGCACTCAGATTATGTTATAGAAGGTAATATTGCATACTGCCTTTTAATAGAGGATGGTGAGCTATCAACATACCAGGAGGCAATAAATAGCTCAGATGCTTCACTATGGATAATGGCGATGCAAGAGGAAATTGAAGCCCTTCATAAAAATAATACATGAGACCTTGTGCCACTACCACAAGGAAGAAAGCCAATTGGTAACAAAAGGGTCTTCAAAATCAAGTGAAATGGTGACGATCAAGTGGAGAGGTATCGTGCAAGATTGGTGGTAAAAGGATATGCTCAAAAAGAATGTATTGATTTCAATGAAATATTTTCTCATGTGGTTCGACTAACAACAGTTCAAGTAGTTTTGGCAATGTGTGCTACATTGAATTTACATCTAGAGCAGCTAGATGTTAAAATAACTTTTCTTCATGGAAATCTTGAAGAAGAAATTTATATGCTCCAGCCTGAAGGTTTTGAAGAAAAAGAAAAGAAGAACTTTGTTTGCAGGTTGAACAAATCTCTGTACGGTCTAAAGTAGGCGCCGAGGTGTTGGTATAAGAGATTTGATTCCTTCATTATGTGCCTTGGATACAACAGACTTAATGCGAACCCTTGTGCTTATTTCAAGAGGTCTGGTGATAACGATTTTGTTATATTGTTGTTGTATGTGGATGACATGTTAGTTGTAGGACCCACCAAAGATCATATTGAAGAATTGAAGGCACAACTGGCTAGGGAATTTGAAATGAAGGACTTGAGATCAGCAAACAAGATTCTAGGGATGCAAATTCACCGAGACAGAAGTAATAGGAAGATTTGGCTTTCACAAAAGAATTACTTGAAGAAGAACTTGTCACGATTCAGTATGCAAGATTGTAAGCCAATTTCTACCCCTCTTCCTATTAACTTCAAATTATCCTCCAGTATAAGTCCTAACAATGAAAAAGAGAGGATGTAGATGTATCGAGTACCGTATGCATCAGCAGTGGGAAGTTTAATGTTCGCTATGATATGAACAACACCAGACATTGCACAAACAGTGGGAGTGATTAGTCGTTACATGGCGAATCCAGGCAAAGAGCATTGGAATACAGTAAAGAGGATCCTGAGATACATCAAAGGGACCTCAAATATTGCATTATGTTACGGAGGATCAAACTTACTAATCAATTGGTATGTAGATTCTGACTATGCAGGGGATTTGGTTAAAAGCAAATCTACTACAGGATATGTGTTCAAAATTGCTGGTAGAGCTATAAGCAGGGTTTCAAAATTGCAGTCAGTTGTGGCTACGTCCACAACAGAAGCAGAATATGTAGCAGCTACACAAGCCAGTAAAGAAGCAATTTGGTTGAAGATGCTATTGGAGGAGCTTGGACACAATCAAGAGTATGTCTCTCTGTTTTGTGGCAGTCAAAGTGCCTTGCATCTAGCAAGGAATCCATCATTTCATTCAAGAACAAAACACATACGAGTACAGTACAATTTAATTCGTGAAAAGGTGGAAGAAGGGACGGTAGATATGCAACAAATCCATACCAAAGAGAACATAACAGATTTCTTGACAAAGGTGATAAATACTGATAAGTTTACTTGGTGTCGATCCTCTTGTGGTCTGTCAGAAACGTAAGCAACATGAAGGTACAAGGTAGGAAGAATGGTGTGAAGATATGATTGTTCCAATCAAATCTTCAAGTGGGAGATTGTTGAAAGTCAGGCCATTTCGGTGCAATTAATGCATCGAATGGCAAATGTCAAAAAGGGTGGCTTTGTGTTGAAAATTAGCAATGGTAGAAATGCATATTTAGTCATTATAATTTAGGGTATTTATAAATTAGTCCTTAAGCTTCAACGATAAATACCTAGCTCATTTAGCTTCAAAATCATCCCAAAGCATTCTAGTTTTCTTCCAATACTAGAGAATTTAGAGAGTTTCTTGAGAGTTGTTTTTCTCTTTTTTATCAAGAGATAATTATCATTGTTTTCTCCTTGGTAGATAGAGAGAATTTATAATTCATATTTTCTCATAGTGAAATTCTTCTATCGTTGCCTGTGGTTTTTACCCTATATTATTTAGGGGTTTTCCACGTAAATTTTGTGTCTCTTTTATCTTCATTTTTTATTTTCTCAAATTATCAGTTGCGATTTTGCTCTATCCGATAGCCGTCTTCCGCAACAATAATCAAGGTTATGAATTGAGTTGCAAGAATTCTAAACAAAAAAATTCCCATCATTTCATGTATGTCCAACCTATAATTTACTGATGAAATCCAACTACGATGATGGTTAACTAATGTCTACGTTAAAAAATCAACGAAATTGGTTAAAGCGATAAGTAGTTTGATCTCACTTAAGCAAGTTTCGAGTTCGATGTCTTGTGTATGTAGAAAATTATAGTTGAGATATTCTCCCACCAAAATTAGGTATGCAACACGGATCGATCTAAACTAGTCAGGGAAAAAACCCGTGGAATCGGGAGGGTAACCAAAAAGTCTACATTCAAACATAAAAAATCAAAAAATTTACCTTTTAACAAACTGGAATGATGTTTATTCAAACATGTTCCTCCCTTAAGAAGTTCATGAGAATAAATCAGAACTTCAAAACAAGGAGAAACACTTCAACCAAATATAATAATCACCATACCTAAACTGTGAGATGCAACTTTCTGCCACACTATTTGGATGCAATACCCTCTCTTTCAAGAAACAACCATAGTGTTTTATCATTAACGTGTTTTACCAAATTACTTATACCCTTCTCAAATGTTTCTAAGGACAGTAGAATATGTTAATAGGGCAGGAAAATAAAAAAGAGGTAACCTGACGCAACTTATCTAGAGCACCCCTCGTATCAAAGGTTTCATTTCTCGCATAAAAAAATTGAATTTCGCTTATGCACAAGCTTCATAGGCGTTAGGTTCATTCGTATGTCAGTTTGTTGTAACAGTCTTCAAGTGTTGATAAGTCATAAATTAAAGACATTAAAAAGAATCTCGACTCGAAAGTAATTCTTCTATGGATGTAAGAATGCTTAGCTTTGCCACAAAAAAACCAGAGTTTCCCACTTCCCATTAAACTTAAAGCAGACGACCAGAAGGTAGTTATGGAGGTACTTCTCGGAAGTGTTACAGTCATGCCAATTTTGATGCACGTGATCAAGAATTTAAATAGCATTCACGGTCATGTTTTTAGCCGCGTCGCGTTTATTACGGTCGTGAATTTTTTTAAATGTCGCACAACTTACCCTAAAATGAATAAATTAAATATAATTAAAATAAAATTATAAAATTTAAATTGTAGAAATTTAGATTACTGAAATTAAGATTAAATTAAATAAAAATTAAAGTTTACATTTTAAACTATAGATTAAATTATAAATTCTAAAAGTGGGAGGGATATCAAATTAATATATCTTTTAAAATTGTATTTTAAAAATTATTTTAAAAAATAAAAGAAATAAACCAACTACCCCTCCTCCTTCCTCCCCCTCCTGGCGATTTCATTGTCTGAAACAAAAAATATTATGCTTTCACTCTCAACTCCCCCTCCCCTTCCTCCTCCCCCAACCTTTCATTTTTTGAAACAAAGAAAAAATTGCGGTAGGAATCACGGTTGGAATAACGCTTATAGCGTCCCGTGATCGACGCAATCCGCCGTTAACCGTTAAATTACGTGCACGACATACAGCTATTGGTGTGAATTCGTTACCTACCGCAAAAATCATGAAAACCGTTTTCGGATGGCGGCGCTATCGCAATATCACGACCGCTATCGCATTTTCGATCCGCAACTTGAAACTCTGCTCGTGATGGCTAAGAGTGGAAGAAGAAAGAGAAAAAAACTCTAATTTCTTTTTTTTAATTATCAATTCAAGCTTCCGTTAATAATTTTACGAGAATTAACGATCGAATGATTAAAACTGAATAAATCAAAAATATAAGACTAAAAGTACTTTTTTATGAACCGATGATGAAAATCAAATGGACCGATAATATAAGCGACCACCCATATAATTTACCAAAAATAAAATCATCACGTGAGTTAAGCATGACTCTATAAAAAAATAATGAGGATAATTTAGGCATTCGAGGTCTAACAAAAATAAATACGTCACTAGAACAATTGGCATCGAGAGTCGATAAAAGTTGAGGGAGCACATGTTTCTTAAAACCCTAATTTCATCTCTTCTAAATCCTAAAAGAAAATTTCTTAAAAAATCCTAAAAGAAAAGAAGTACCGGATTTTATATTACATTAAAAATAAAATCAGTTTTGCTCATCATCCACTCTCTAACAAACATCTTCTATTTTCCGTTTGCTTTTTTATATATATTTTCTTATTCTTTTTTCTTTGTTTCCGATAACTTTGTCTTTGTTGAAAACTAGGGTTTGCTCTAATGGTGGGTTTCGTCTGTTGCAATTAGGCCGTTTCTTGGAATTTTTCATTTCTCCTGGAACGGAAGTGCGGTTGTAGTTGCTTCCTAAATATATAATCCTGTGAGTATTCTCTATTTCTTGTCGCTGCAAGACTTTTTTAATGGGTGTTAGTGACTTTTTTTTAAAGGCTTCGATTAATTCTTGGTGCCATTGTTTCATTTCTGAATCTAGGGTTTGGAAAATTTTGGGCTGGAAGTGAATATATTACTGTTTGTCATGCCTTAATTTTCTTCGGTATTAGCTCTTATTTTGGGAGAAAGTGGAATTTTCTTGTATAGTTATTTTGTCCAGGAAAATAAGGTTAAAAAAAGTACTATTTTGTGGTGTCAAGAGGCCATTTCTAACTCAGTGCCTTCTTTTTTTCTTTTCTGGTTCATTTCTGGAAATTATTTTCTTTGCTGTGCTGCATTATTCAAATTGTTTAAAATGTTAAGATTGTGCCTTTAGCTCCGTTATTGCTTTTAGCTTATAAGTTTGATCTACCTTCATTTTGCAATTGAACATGTTTTCTGTGGACTTGGTGGTTCTCTTTTTTTACTGCACATGTTTTGCAAGAATCATATCTTTTTTAGGTTTATGGTGAATGACTCTCAGTAATATGATGTTTTCTGGTTTTGAAGGTGATATTTGTTTGGAAAATATGTCATCAAAGTACCAAATACTTGACAATAGACCGATTGATCAATGGAAGGTTACTGAGTTGAAAGATGAACTTAAGAGGCGGAAATTGACAACTCGGGGCTTGAAAGAGGATTTGGTAAAACGTTTGGACGAAGCGCTTCGAATAGAGAGGGAAAATACTGAAAACGAGGAAGACAATGGTTTAAATTCTGATCCCCGGACAATAGATGAGAGTGGGGTTGAAAAGGTGATGCTGGATACTGCAGAGACAGTTAAAGATGTTGTGGATCATAGTGGAAGTGAGATCAAGAAGGAGAGTGGGGTGAAGGTTCAGGTTGACATTAATGAGAGTGCAGCTGCTTTGGGTCACGAAGGAGTTCAGGGAAGGGACAGCATGGTGCAAGAGGAGCTCATTGCTCAAGCTACCACCGTTCAGACTGATATAACAGTTACCAAGGATGTGGTATCTGAGGTACCAATAATTGGACAAGCTTTGCAGAGCTTAGGACAAAACGAGAATGTGAATATTGATATCAAATTGGAGTATGAGGATCCTAAGCTCCAATTGGAGACTGAGGATCCAAAGGCATTGTTGAAGAATGAAGGCCCAAAGCATCAGGTGGAGAGTGAGGGTCCAAAGGCTGAAGAACCCAAGGGCGAGCTGGAGTGTGTGGGTTCAAAGCCTCGAGTGGAGAGTGATGATTTGAAGTCCCTACTGGACATTGAAGATTCGAAGGTGCATCCGGAGAATGATGATTCAAAAGCTGCACATGAGGATGACATGCGTGATTCTTCTGCTCCGAACATCCAGGTCTCTGAGGTCAGCCCTAATTTAGGGTTTCAAGTAATATCTGATACTATTCCTACTGATTATGTGTCAAATAATGAAAATATTGAAATAAAAGGATAACATAATTGCTGATAATGTCAAACTAGACCAAGATGTTATAAAGCCAGATATGCTGGAACCATCATCCAGCAATGTTGTCCCAGTTAGTGGTGAAGCACATCCAATGGATGTTGAAGTGCCACCTGAGATAAAGGCACCTTTTGATGAGAGAGATGACAAGAATATTACAAATGTAGACATGAGCAATAAAAATGATAGTGCAGAGATGGCATACTCGGAAAAATTAAATTTAGATAGAAGTTCTGGCGATGACTCTATGGAGGAGGATGTGCTTGAGAGTAAACAAATTGATTCTAAATATAGTACTGATGAAACTGGAGTAAAGAGTGAAAAAAATGGAGCACCCATTATCAAGGAGAAAAGTTCTGTTCGTGTTATAGGAGATGATTTATCTGCAGATAAAAAGGACATCTTTGTTGAGAATAAGAGCTGTTCTTTTGTTCCTGCCGGAAAAAGAAAGCTTCTTGGTAAGTGACGATGGCCTGCATTTTTTATTTACTGCCCTTTCTTTGCATGTATGCATGCTTTAACTTTACTGATTTCATTTTGAAGCTAAGGTAATGGGATATTAGTAGTGCTTGTACTTTTACAGGCATGCTTAAGACAACTAATTTAAGTTGGTTAAAGTTGTACATGTGGAATGTGATAACTTTGTTTTAATTTTTTGTATTCGATAGTTTATACACTGTTTCCATGTAGCACTGCTTCTTTGGTTGTGAGGTTAATAATATATATTATTTATTTATATTGGTTTTGGCTAGAAATTGGCATAATATTTCTTCTTTCACTTTTCTATATTGGTTTCGGACTTCCCGGTGCCCTGGACAGCAAAGTTTTTTTTTGGATAGAAATATTATTAGGCCTCATTAAAAAACCCCTTCATACCCCTCCATGTTACAGCAGTAACATGAAGGACATTGGAAGGAGGAAAAGAGTGCCTATGAATTTTATTAATCAGAACAATAATACAGTCAGTTCCTAACAACTTTCTGTTACAACATAACACTGAAAACAAAACACCCTACAGAAATACAAACAACTCACAATAACATAACAACCCAAACACATAACCTATAATCAACCTATACCATCTTTAGCTAACTTATCCGCTTCCCAATTAGCAGCTCTTAGGGTATGCCTTATTATAATATCCTGTCCTTCCACAAGTGAAGCTATATCTTTCACCAAAGACTCAAACATAGGGGTACAGATAGCCGGATTTTTAATCCACTTCAATGCAGTACTAGAATCCGATTCGAGAATAATCCTTCGAATTGGGACAGATCCTATTTCTTCAATAAGAAGCAACCCTCTTTTGATAGCCAATAACTCTGCAAGGATAGGAGGACCACCCCCAACCTTCTCTGAAAATGAACCAAGCAGCATACCTTTGCTATCCCTGATCAATCCACCTATTACCCCTTTATCCCATCCCTTCACCATCGCACCATCTACATTAAGTTTAACGAACCCCTCAGGAGGAGGAACCCACCAAGATGAAGAATAACAACCCTTTTTCTGTCTTCCCACTAGATCTGCTAGTTTAATATCACCCACTAAGGAATCAAAAGGAATATGCACATCTTTAAATCTAGCCCCAAACCAAGAAGCAATTCTAAATCGAACAAGGAAGAACAACAACGCAAAATCCACCTTCCCTTTCTGAAAAATTATCTCATTTCTACACTTCCAAACCGACCACAAAACCGCCCTTGGAATGAATTTCCAAATAATGGAGCCCGGAACTAAATCATCCCACAGAATGATGAATGCAATCAAATTCATTGGAACCACAAAAGAAACATTCCAAGAAATCAAGAATCTAGACCACAAACCCCATACCACCTCATAGTGCAAAAAAAGATGAGAAACCGACTCCACAAACTTACCACACATTGGACACAAGGGGTCATCAATCCCTGCCACTCCTCGCTTCAACAGTTCCTCCTTAACCGCCACTCTCTGATGTGCAACCTGCCAAACAAAAGTTTCCACACGGGGCGGTGCTACCCCCTACCCATACACGACTTTCCCAAGTACCATCATTCCCCTCATTACCAACCCAATCAAGAAAATTCTTGATGCATGATTTAGCTGAAAAACAGCCCTCTCCATTCCCTGTCCATACCCAGCAGTCTTCTTCCAAAGATGACAAAGTGGTGCTGTTCAACAAAGAAATAAGCTGTAACCATTCTGGACAGCAAAGTTTATAGGCACATTTAATATTGAGCTTGCTTTGTTGTTGAGGGAATAAATTTTAGAATGCAAATTCTTTTTGAGAATGAAATCTGTAGTTTGCTTCTTGATAAATGGACAATGCTAACTTAACAAGCTGTCTGCACAGATCAGAAAACTGTTGAGAACAGTGAGCTATCAAAAAGGCGCAAATGGAACTCTGACAATATAAAAGCTCCAGAACATCAAGGATCTAATCTTGTCCCCGCCACCATACCTAAAGGCACAACTCAACCTACTGCTTTCAGACGTAACTTCTCTAGATCAGATTCAATGGCAAGCGAAGATACACCTAAGGAACGAGTTGGTGAGTTATCATATCTCAGTCAAATGCTTCAAAATGAATTCTACTGAATGTGGCTTTAACATCTCAAAGGTTTTTATTTGATCTTATTTGGCAGTTCCCCCTTCTCAAAAAGCTCCAACAAGTTCCCTCAGAATTGATAATTTTGTTCGCCCTTTTACCTTGAAAGCCGTACAAGAATTTCTAGGGAAAACTGGGACTGTAACGAGCTTCTGGATGGACCACATTAAGACCCATTGCTATGTCACAGTAAGACTTATTGCTTTCTTTCCATCTGCTCGACTTTTGTGGTTTATGATTAATTATTCGTTTTGGCATTTTATATGTTGAGGTTATTCTATTCGTCTAATCCACTTTGGGAATTACTTTGATGCAGTATTCTTCTGTAGAAGAAGCAATAGACACACGAAATGCTGTTTACAACCTGCAATGGCCACCTAATGGAGGACGTCTATTGGTGGCAGACTTTGTTGATCCACTGGAAGTTAAAACTCGGGTTGATGTTCCACCTCAGACTCCAACTACTCCTGGGACTTATGGTTCTACAGCTCCTCAAGCTCAACCTGCTTCTCAGCCCCAGCCTTCACCTCATCAACAGATTTCTAGACCGCAGCTACCACCACCTTCTGCACTTCCACCACCACCGCCACCGCCTTTGTCTAACCCTCCACCAGTTAGAGAACGGCTCCCTCTTCCGCCACCACCTCCTGAGAAACTAGATCCTCCTATTGTCACTCTGGATGATCTGTTTTGGAAAACCAAAGCAACTCCCCGGATCTATTATTTGCCATTGTCGGATGAACAAGTTGCAGCAAAGCAAGCAGGAGAGGGCAGAAACATGAAGCAGTAGAGATCAGGCTGTAGTTTATGACTGGCTGTTGTTCCTGTTTTCTTATTAGTTGGTCTGTATGTTAGATACTGGTATGAAAGTGTCACATAATTGCATCTTTGCAGGTCTGCAGGTTTGGTTCAATTTGAAGGAATTATCGATGCCATGCAGAGGGAACGTATCCGGTGATGGGTATCGGTTGTCTGACAGCTACTTTGGGCTTGAGTTTTAAGTTCCATATAGCATTAGAATCCTTCAAACTTAGAGCTCTCTTTTGTAATGGATTGTTGATTCTCTTTTTTTTCCCGAGTTTAGTTCACTTTTATGAACCTGATTTTGTAGAATCTTACTTATTCTGGATGTTGTTTTGGACGGAGACTCCCTGGTTTTAATATAATCTCAAACTCATTTTATGTATTTGTTGATTGTCTCGCATGAATTTGTTTCGGATGATTATGAGTCGGAGATCCGAGAAGTGAGATATCTATCTAGACATCAATTATCGTCGAAACTAAGTTTTTTCTTAACCATAAGTCTATCTTGAAATTGTACTTATTTTTAAAATATAGTTAATATCGATTATTTATAAAATTAATTTCATAAAAGTTATATTTTTTTAGGTTTTTAAAAAAAATAATTTTGGAAGTTTTCCTTATTATGCGTGAAGAAAGTAAAATTATTTCCGGCCTTTAAAAGTTGATAGTCTCGATTTTCAGAAGTTAAGAATATGATTTTAATTTTAAAATGTGTTAAATCATATTTTAATGTAGGTTATATATATTTGAAAAATTGTATCTAAGGGAGCATATTTTAAAATCCAATTCAAATTCTTAGCATCTAAAAATAAAGACTATCTCAATGTCCAAAAAACAAAAATAAAAAAAAGACCACGATATTGAATTTGAAAATGTTGAATTCTACCAAGGCACTGGGTATAATTTAGACCTCGAACCTCTTCAACTGACTGCTTTTCAGCTTTGTTCATATGATGTATTCCGGTCACTCGCTTCAGCACTGTCTTCCAACTTCACGTCGGTTCTCAGATTCCGGAACTGGATCACCATTTAGCCGACTCCAGCCATCAAAAGCCTCGACTTCACTCCCCTTTCTCAACATTCATCATCCATATTGATCATATACCGTTCATTACAGACACATACATGCTCTCCATTACTACAATGACAAACCTCGATATTCTTTCTCTAAATGCCTCGATATAGCCGACTCAGTTGACCCACATCCCTCACACACACGTCAAGAAAGGCGACAATGAGAAGATAAATAAACAATTATAGACATAAAATTTCAATTCTTCTCTGAAAATGAAACATATGGTTTTTCCCCGGCCTATTTTGGATCCCCAATTCAATAATATATAACAAATTAACGATCTCGGTTGCACGCAAATTCAACAAAATTTCCATAAAATTAAAAAATCTAACATTAAACTACAGGGTATTGGCACAAATAGGAACACTTCTTTTTTGAGAAAGAAAAATAAATAAAGAGAGATTGATAGTTACCGAGGAGTAGGGAGCGAGAACCAGGGTTTGCAAAATAGGAATTAACTACGCTAAGATGTTAGATATTGACTCAAATTTTAATTATAAATAAATTTTGATTTTCTTTTAAAATTTTACTGGTGGAAAATTACTTGATGATTAAGTTTATTAAGTATGAATTTTAATTGGATACAAATTCTTGTTGATCAAATGCAACAAGACTCTATAAATCGAACTATAAATCGAAAGTATATCCTAGCCTTTAGAATTATTATGAGAGAAATTATTTTGGAGATGTGTATTTTTATAGTCTATGTAATTTTTTAGGTTTACGTTGCATTGATGGATTTTGTTAGGATATTAAGAGATTGATTTGGGATACATTAGATTCTGGTACATATATAAGATTTTAGGATACATGAGATATCATTTATGTGTAACATTCATGATCTCTACGTTTATAGTGGATTCTTCTTCTTCTTCTTCATAGAGCTGGTAGACAAGGTCGCACCATGTTAAACCTTATATCTTACATGTGATATTTTCTATCTCGATCTCACTTTATTATTTTTCCACTTATAAATTCTCAATACAAGAGAAAATAGATGAATTCAGGTTTATAAGTTAAACAATGGTCTTATTATTATACATCCAAAATTTTAAAACCCCTCTATCAACTTTAACTTCTTGACATAATTCTTTAGATGTCTTCTTCATTCCCATCGACTAGATGAAAGAGGGAAAAACAATGAATTTTTTGATAATCTCGTTAATCAGAGAAGATGTTGAAAATAATACTCGATGACTACTATAACATTAAGGCTAGGGTTTAGATTAGACAATGACCAAATTGATAATATTTTAAATATTGATGGTTGAATTTATTAAATTATTATGAACTAAAATCAAATTAGTAAAATATACAAATTTTAGATATTCAAAATATTACTCAGCATATTCAATAAAACATAACGATGACCAAAGTAAGAAAAATATATAATATTTGTGATCATATATGTAGGAAAAATAATATAGTGACCAATATAGAATAGACATAATAGTAGGCTGACCAATGACATAGTTACCACATATTCTATTATTGGCAATTTATGATCACAACTAAAACAAAATTGTTTCGTACGGCTTCAGCCTAGTAGAAAATATAGCCTTTTGATACTCTTTTTTCATATCCATAAAGTTCCTCTTTCCTCCACCACCAACCATGGCTGCTCTCACTGAATTCTTCTCCCACCTCTACACCATGACCGTCGTCTTCTTCAACTCTTACTCCTCGAAACTGCAACCCTCATCAGGTCCATCACCAACGGCGTTTCCAACTCCGAAAAGCGTCCCATCACCACCACCCAGTACCTCAAATTCATTGAAGAAAAGAACCCAACAATCATTTACTCCGCAAGATCGTCGTCGTCTTCGTCGAGGGTGGACCAGTCATCGAATGAATGTGCCGTGTGTTTGTCCGAGCTTGAAGAAGGTGAAAAAGTGAGGAAACTGAAATGCAAACACACTTTCCACAAGGACTGGTGGCTCCATCAGTGGGCTACCTGTCCACTTTGTAGGACCAAAGTTTTGCCGGACGAGATCGTGGCTAATTATCACAGGCTGCAAAATCAGGTAGAATATGATGGAAGTGATGAAGATGTGGTTTTCTTGCTGTCTGCACTTCATGATAATAGTTTACACAGATGGTTCTGATCAGTTCTGTTTTGTTATACTTAAAGGACTCTTAAGTTATTTTTTTCTTATAAATTTACTTGCCCGAGAGAAGCTCGTTACATTGTGGAATATTATAACTGTTTTTCTTTTAAAGTTTGTGAAAGAACTCCAGAGGAATATTAGATAGAGGCTTGGTGATCTAATTTTATGAATCAGCTTCATGGTAGCTAGCAAATATCAATGCTTAATTACTGCTAGATGTTTCTTCATTATCAATATTGTCTACCAACATTTTTCTTAGAAGATTGGTAGGTAAACAGGTGAAATACATTGGATAGGTTGCTTCTCGGTTACTTGTCTCTCCACTGCATTCAATTTTGTTTTTATGGTGTTCTATTAATTCAAAAGCTTTTTAGAGGCTATATATTATGTCCATATTTAGAACAAACGATTGCTGGATATAGATAGGTATTTCAAGAAAAAACAAAACGGATTTCTTTAGATTCTTCTACTTTCTGAAAAGGGAATGGAGGTTCAGATGCAGGATTACTGACACTGATAGATAAACTGTGCTAAGGTTTTTCACAAATTCAGAGTCATATTTCTTCTTTCGAATCTGACACTTCCCCAATTTGAACTCAACTAGGGAAAAAGAACCAATAAATTACCTGTGGGAATTATCCAAACTTGTAAAAATTTGTCGAAAAGTAGAGGGAATCACTGGTTTCTGCCTAATATATGCCATGTTGCCAGCAGCGTTTATGTTCATGTTTGTGTGCCTTTGCAGCATAGAGGTATATTTTTGTTTTTTAGACAAGTCCTAAATCTAATCCTAATCCTAATCCTAATCCTACTAGAGGGGAGGAGAAGAGTAACTCTATAGGAAAAGATGAGCAGTTTGATCACATCCTACGTTATCTTAAGACTCATTTTTTAATAATTTAATCATAATTTCAGATTCTATTTATATAAGTTATGCATATTATTACATTTTGGAGTGACATAGTAATATCTATTTATTTTATATAAAAATAATCATTAAATATATTATTTTTTAATATAGAGAACGAATTAATTTGAAAATTTTCATCATAATAAGTATAATGATAATAATAATGATACATTCCATAATTTGAAAATATCAATTGTTAAATATATATTAATTTCAGATTTTATTTATATAAGTTATGATCTCATTCTTTATGCGAAAGCTGGTTTAAAGCAAGCTAAAACTATTCAGAATATCCTTGATACTTGTTATTCATTCTTGAGCTTTCAGCAAGTCGATTCCTTAGACAAGTACATAGGTGTCCCTGTTCTTCATCGTCGAACAAAGTGCTCGGATTTTGACTTTGGCCAAATTTGTCCTCTCAGCAATCTCAACATATTTTATGCAAACTTCTATGCTCCCCAAGTAAGTCTATAATGCGGTCGAAAAAAATTCTAAGACAATACATATGGGGCACGCCCAAAATATCCCTTGTTAATTGGGAAAATATCTGTCAATCGATTGATCGTGAAGGACTCGGTTTCAGGAGAATATACGACTTCAACATGGCTTTTATTCTCAAGATAGCCTTCTCTTTGGTCACCGACACTAATGCAGTATCGGTTCGCATTCTTCGCCAAAAATATAAGGTTGTTGAAACTTGTTCTGCTTCGATTCGTAGCTCAAACAGCACGCCGCTTTGGAGAGCTATCTCGAAAGCTTGAAATGATTTGAGAACAAGTCTGGCCTGGTCCTTAGGCAATGGAAACTCCATCCAACCTCTAGATGATATTTGGATCCCAACCATAGTATTAAATTGTGGCCCCAACACAGCGTAACGCCCGCATCGTACTGTTTTTTAAGAATATTGCGACGTAATATTCGCGCACCGCAATAAGGGAATCGCGTCACAATTGTTGCGGTCAAAAACCGTTACGTAACACCGCAACACACTATAAATTACGCCGCAACAAACTTTAAATTATCTGAAATATAAAATTACATAGATGAATTGTTCTAATTTAATTCTTAAAACTGGATTATAAATATATAACATTAATAATAGCGCAATAGTTATGTTTAAAATTAGTTACTTAAATTTGAATTAATTAAATTATTTATTAACGTTATTTTAAAATTAAATTAATTTAAATTTAAATTGAATTTTTCTAATATCTAAAATTGACGTGATTAATTTTAAATTAAATTTTTATATTAAAAATTAAGTATCATAATTATATTTTATTTATTATTATATTAGAAAATAATTGATAGACGATGGAGTAAACAACTTCATAATGATTTACATTTTGCTGGTACATTATAAAACTTTTAAATTTAAATTGTGATATCTTGTTTAGATATTTATTATATTAATTTTTATGTAGGATATTTTCTAAATTCACAATTTTTATACGGAGTCAATTCCACAAGTGAAGTAATTCGTGAAACTATAAATGGAGTTAGAAATGTCATATAGAGGATAGAACCCAACTTGAATGATCAAATTCTTGCAATGAACCAGATATGTATTTTATATACTTAAATTGTTTGAAAAAACTCATAAATTATCATATTTAAACTACTAATTCATTTATTTTTTAGTTGTTGTTATATCGAGACAAAATGGATTCTTTTAGAACACCATTAGCTCAAGCTGCAATTTTGAAGACTAACACTGATAAACAAAAAGAATTTATCCTATATAGTTTTGTAGATAATAAAGATATTTGTATAAATATTTTATGAATTATATCTTAATATTTATGTTTTTTATAGTTGAATGGTGCATTAATTATGAAACTTGTGCACAACAACTTCAACGCATCGATGTCTAAGTTTTGAGTCAAACAACTTCATTTTCAAATTGTGAGCGTAATTGCACTACAACAAAATAGAGTTTTAGCGGTGCTTTTTTAGTCCTATAGCAGCATTTTTAAGCGCCGCTAAAAGCGCTTACGACGATTGAAAAAACGCCGCAAGAAGCGCCGCTAAAGTTAGTTGCGTTTGAGAACCAAAAACGCCAACATAGGTCAAGATTATTGCTGCGTTTTTGGAACAAACGCCGCAAAAGGTCGATATCTATAGCGGTCTTTTTTTCAAAAATGCCGTAAAATGTTAGATTTATAGCGGCATTTTTTTAGAACTATAGCGGCGTTTTTTATTACAAACGCCGTAAAAGGTCAGATCTATAGCGGCGTTTTTGGATTCAAACGCCACGAATTACCTATCTTTAGCTAAGATTAATTGATTTTGCATATTTCATTTCAGTTGTACATCACCTAAATTTAATATCATGTAGATTTATCTAATTAACAACAACCATCCATTTTCATTAATACACAAGTTATGTAGAAAAATACTTAACAACAAAATAAATTAAAATTTATAAACATTAAGTATTAAAAGTAATGTAGTTTGACATTGTTCTCTAGAATTTAGTCTAGGTTCTTTCACTTTCAACTAAAAAAATATTGTTCACTAGAATTTAATCTTCATTGCTCCTTCGTGTGGAAAGGAAGTAAAAAAACAGTTTTCCTTGTTTCATGATGCATCGTTCAGTGCTTCACTTGACGGGCGCTTCTTAATTATAGCCTGCCAACAGAAGTAAATAATCAACATGGATTTCTATGACAATCAAGAATTTTTCTAATCTAACTCAATAGAAGCTATGTATGTTTAACTGAATCAAGACATTTTCATTGATTGAGAACTATAAATCACTGAATTCAACCAAAATCGGATTAGGCAACATCGACAAAACACCTTAACAATAAATAATCATCCAAAAATAAGTTACAGCGCAAAAAAGAAGAAATTAAACAAATATCTTAAAAAAATTACCTCAGTGTAGACTCCTGCAAATCCACTCAAAAGAGCCATCACCTGCAAAGCAAACAAATTAACAAATGATTAAAAGTTTTGATTTTGAAGCAACCAATCAATTCTACTTTTCATCTTTGTGGAACAAAAAGAAAAATATTTTGTCAACTTACAATGGCCATTATCCAACCTGGCAGAGGTGCTTGAATTACTTGATCAAAACTACAAAAAAATAATGCAAATTTACTAAGGAATAGCCAAATCATAAACCCCATAAAAACTCAAATTGAGAACAGCATGTCCTTATCCTCATGGGATTGAGAATTGAGATATCAGTTTTCATTTCAAATATTCTACCCATAACTATATGAAGCATACATGTTAAAATTGTTCAATCATTATCTGACAATTTTTTACATTCATCAAGATGAAATTGACAGGTCTATCACGTTAAACCATCAGAGAACAGTACCAAGACAATCTCCAAAGTCAATAAGTTTGCATCAAAGTAACAAACATGTGCTCAAAAACAAATTCTGGAAAATTAGGAAAGGTTTAATGATTCTTACCGAGAATTTAGTTGTGTTGTTGTGCAACCAACACATAAGAGAATAAAAGTTGCCCATTGAATCTGACTTAATCTGAATTAAAGTATCAATAAAAGAAAATTTTATGGAATCCAAAAGGTGCACAATATATGTCTATTTTGGTGTTTCTTCCACTTTAATGTATATTAGGTTTATTTAATTGAAATTTGCATAACTGAGATTATGATAATTTCAATTGCTATGCTACGCTATACTGAACAATCATCAGATTTTATTCATCAACTCTTTTTATGAAAAACATCGACGTGCGTGGTTTTAAGCAACTTACTTTTTCTTAAGGATGATACGATACAAAACACCAGTACTGATAATATTCAGATTCTTCAGTATTTGATAACCCGGTGCGTCAACATAGGCAAAGATGTAATACTGCAAACATAAAATTGAAAAGGACATACAATTACATTTTGGAAAATAAGACCAAGATATAGTTATTCACAAGGAAACCAAAAATCAAAGTCCATCTGTAAGGTCAATCCCATTGGCACCATGTCAAGTCATAACATAAGATGACTATTCTACTCACCACAAAGTTCGTTGTGGTAACACTATACTCATACTTCCCAGCTCTCTTCGACCAGACAATAAGTATTGCTTGTGAACTTGTAAGAAAAGTCAATACAAGTGTAACAATTATCCTAATCAAGGTGGGAAAACCATCAACTTTTTATCTTTTTCAGTTTTTTA